TTTAGTAAAGTAATACTTTATTTATTATTAAATTAAAGTATAATAAAATAATTAAAATAATATAAAAAGTTAATTTATTTTATTTTTTATTTAATATAAAAAAATTATAAAGATTGGTTAAAATTTGAATAATTTTTATTAGAAGTAATTATTAATTTTATATTAATATATCAATCTTTTTTGTACCAGCCTATATATTTTTTTAATAATTATTAAATTAAAATCTAGAAAGAAATTAGTATTTGATTATTTAATTTTGATAGAATGAATAATATTTATTTTTTTTAATATTGTAAATATTATAAAATCATCTTTTAACATTTAAAGATAATTTTTATTTTTTTAATCTTTTTATAAAATATAATAATATAATAAAATTATAAAAACATTTATTAAGAAAATAATTATATTTTTTAATATAAACTATAATCAAGCACTTGAAATGGACTTTTTATATTGATATTATCGGATATTTTAATATAATATAGTCTGATTTAATTAAGAAATTTTGGTCGATATGCATAATTCCAGCTGAAATTTTCATCATGATCTGTTTTCACATTTATTAAAATATTTAAATGATTACTATGCACTTGTGTGCCTCACTAAACGTCCGGATTTAAACCATTTTAGATATCCTTTTCCAATCTCTAACCTGGGACTTGATAAAGTTGTTAGCTAACCACGAGCAAGACCTTGTTTCATAGCGCGCGATAGTTTAGAAAGGACAGAGCACCAAGGGATGTATAATTGATTAAATACGTATATACATGTAATATGATGACTTAGGATTGAGAAAGTTCGTTTCATTAATGGTATGGTAGGAAGGCAAATGATACTTATGTGTATATTAATTGCGAAATCTAGATACATACATGGAAATCAGTATTTATTGAAGGAAGAGAGTATCGTATAATGAGGAGTCAATTGACTAGGTTTGACTTGCATCTTATTCTCTTTTAGAAATCGAAATGTGGCAATTAGACGCATTTACAATTTGTCATTTCAAATATAAAAAAATTATTTCATCAAGATAATACTAAAAAACTACCATATATCAGCGCTCATCCTCACTGTCTAAACAATAGCTTCAACATTAGACAATCTATGAAAACGCAATTTCTTGCTCTAGCTTTGTAAAATTCCACTCTTAAAACAATTTTTTGAGTACAGAGTTCAAGCACAAAGCAGTATTATGTTGGCCTTTGCCTTTATCGAAGAACTTTACATCTCTGTCATTCCCGATCAATGTTTGAAAGACCGTATTCTTCAAACGCACGAGTACACAACCATCAAATGGATGAGCTCGGTGCGTCTTGAATGATACTTAGGTTTTTCTATGTCCGGCCTTACTGCGAGTCAATAACTATAATTTGCCCGCCAAGATTTCGAACAATTAGAGCTAGAGAAATTTTTTTGGTGATTCATAAAATATAACGTGCGTGATAAATCACGAAAGTCGATCATCTCCTTTACACGTGATTTAAACGCAATTTCTGGTCTGGTTCGCCATCCAAAGAAGTCCGATTTTATAACTGCCGGAATTGTGTTGGTGTGATAAATAAACGCCCGAGGATCTTCCGCCGGGCATTGCTTTTATCGCTTTGATAGTCTAGTTTGCTTCATTTCGCTGCAGTAATTACTGCAAATTCTGCAAACCAAAAAACGCCTAGATATCAAAAATAAAATTTTGGGACGCGACATTTTGACATCGAATGGTCCAATCTGAATAAAAAAGGCCATTCGATGTCAAAATATCGCATCCCTAAAATTTAATTTTCGATTTTTTAAATTTTTAAGTAAAACATACGCAATTAAAAAAGATTCAAAATTAAAAATTAAAATACTAAAAATTTAAAATTCAATAGATTCTTTTGATAATGCATGCCTTTTGTCATCTAAAGTATTTTTATAATCATTATAGCTTCTTTCAACGTCTACCCCAGAAATAGGAAGCCAAATATAAATTATCATTTTGTTCTTCATTTAATCCAGAATAAATGCTCCACTCCATTATAATATCATCTGATTGATTTTTAATAATATCATAAGAAGAAATATTATTGTCTTCTAGTAGAAATATGAATATAAAAAGGATCAAAACATTGAATTTTTTCAAATAATTTAAAATCAATATGCTTATTAAATTTATCAAGAACAAGTTGAAATACTTCAGAAAAATGTATCATTTTGCAAAAAAGCATGTGTTTGATTTAAACGGATAATTATTAAAGAAGCTAAGGGTTTTTCTCTAATTTTAAAAAATTCCAAATTAGTTAATAATCTATAAAAAATATAAAAAGTTAATATATATATAAAAATTAAATAATAAAAAATAATTACCTTGAGCATTAAAATTTATAAATAATATAAAATTTATAAATATAAACTTATTCTTCTTGCTGAAAAGTATTAATAGAATTATTATTTTTATCTAATTGAAATTCTTCAAAAAAATTTTAAAATAATAAATATAAGAATTCATTCAAATTACAAATTTAAATCATGAATTCCATCTGGTTTTAATAGATAAAGAAGAAAGTATAATTTCAAAAGCAAAATTAGAAATGTTTAATAAATATAAAAGTCATCTTCTTTTTCTTGTTGCAGAATAAGCAAATATAATCTTAAAATTAGAAATAACTTGATTAAGTAAATTAAATTTTTCATATTTAATCCATATTTTTCCAATTAAATTAAAAATATTTATCAAATAGAAACTGTAATATAATATAAAAATTAAAGAAAAAAATCTTTAAAGGATTTAATCATATAATTTACATTATTAATTATAAAAAGAATAATATTTTTATAAGAAATATTATATAAAAAAATAATATTAAGAGTAACTTGAAAAATTATATTATAATTGATATTATTAAGAAAATATATTTTTGTTAATTTTTGTTTTGTTTTTATAACTAAATAAAATATTAATTATATTATAAGTACAAGAATTTATTATTTTATTAATAATAATAATATTTTTTTATTAAATCTTCTTTTAATTTTTTTACTTCTATTTTATAAACTTTTGATAAATAATATTTTCTTAATTGATTAGTATTCATAACTGCTTCTCTTATTAATTAATTTAAATTTGAAAATATTAATATATTAATTAAATTCATTATACTTTTAATAAAATTTTTAAATTTTATTATTTTTATAAGATTTTAAAAAAAAATAGCTAAAGTTTTTTACTTTTTAAGTAAAATATTAGCAGCAGTAAATATTTTAACTAAATTATAATTGATTTTATACTTTTTTGAAAAACTAGATATAGTAATTTCCTGATTAGTTATTGAATTTTATTTTTTATTTTTATAATTTTTAAATTTTAAATATTATTTAAATAGATTTTCTAAAATACAATATAATTTATTATTATCAATATAAAAAATCTTTATTAAAATTAGAATATTTATTTAAAAGAAATTCTGATGTAATTATTTTATTTTTTTAAATTTGATTAATTTTTTACAAATTTTTTTGTTATTAAATTTAATATAATTTTTAGATATAATAAAAAAACTATTATTATTATAATAATTTAATAATTATTTAATTATAGATCAGTACAAAAAGATTTGTATTTCAATATAAAAATCAATAATTACTTCTAATAAAAATCATTCAAATTTTAACTAATCTTTATAATTTTTTTATATTAAATAAAAAATAATCTAAGTTAACTTTTTGTATTATTTTAACTATTCTATTATACTTTAATTCATTAACAAATGAAACATTACTTTATTAAAAAAAAACTAACATGAAATTATTTTTTTAAAAAAAAGATATTTTAAATATTATTGCTATCAATTTGCAATATTAGAACTTCAAATTATGCAAGCAGATTGCTTTAGATTTGATAAATATATATTTTAAATTTGAATCAGTAGTTATAAAGATATTAAGGTTCAAAGTTAAGTAATTAAATTATTTACTATATAATTTTTATATTAGTTTTAATCAAATTTTATATAGTAAAATTTAAGAAATAATAATTGAAAAAAGTTATTATTAGTAAAATTTTTTTTATTAAAGATATATAATAAAAATTTTTACATTTAAATAAATCCCAATACCTAATATCTTAATTAAATAAGACAGAATTAAAATTTTATTTTGAAAAAATAATTTATTAATGTTTATCTAAGATACAAATCTTTTTGCACTGACCCATAATAATTATTATTATTACTCTTCAAAATTTTAACAATGTAATTGTTTAAAAATTTCATTAGAATGTAAATCATTATTGCCGTGCAAACTACCCCTCCCTGTATCATATCCCCCCCAGACCCGATCTTGTAGATAGGTAGTGAGTTTTGTAATAGACCCGGGTATAACTGTCATCCTGTGATTCAGATCCGGGATAGAACATGCACATGTAAAAATCACATAAAACGTAGATCATTAGATCATTCTTATAATGTAGATTGTAAAATCACATCAGTATCATGCAAATTACACGGATTTTGCAGCAGTAGATTTCTGCATTTGCAGAAAACTGGACACCGTAATGTGTTACAAATCCATCCCCATCTCTTCGATATTAAACTAAATGCACAACTTTAAAGAATGGCTTCAAATAAGATTAAGATTGGACAGTACAATGTCTTGCAAACCCTTGGTGTTGGTTCTTTTGGGAAAGTCAAATGTAATTTTTCTATTTTTCAATATAATTACAAATAAAGCTTGAAACAAACTTTGGCCAATTTCACGTATTCGATAAACGCATAACATGTAGTGGCGGTCCATTCGGTGACAGGTCATAAAGTCGCAATGAAATTCATTAACAGGAAAAAGATTGCTAATTTGGATATGGTGGGAAGAGTCAAACGTGAAATTCAATATCTGAAATTGTTAAGGCATCCTCATATAATCAAATTGTAAGTTTATTATTTAATATAGTCATTGTTGTTATCCGGAATGAAAGTGAATTTTGGCGTAAGATCTTAAGAATGTACTCACATATTAATCCATTCGATTTTCTCCACAATACGCTAATACATTTGTCGTGCATTTTACGCCAATTCACGATCAGATATGAGGTAATTGCAACACCAACAGACATTATCATGGTAATGGAGTATGCTGGGGGTGAATTATTCAATCTCATAGTAGAAAAAGGCAAGGTAAGAATGTAATTTCGTCATTCGTAATCTCTCAATTGGTCATGTTTAAATCCAATTCAATATTGACCCTCTCAAGTTTTATATTTTAGATGTCTGAAGATGACGCGCGTAGATTTTTCCAACAGATTATATGTGCGGTTGAATATTGTCATCGACACAAGATTGCGCATAGAGATTTAAAACCTGAAAAGTCAGAACTCTGTAAATTTTAAAAAAAGCATTATATTTGAAGACGCATTATTTACCATCTTTTATTTATTATACGAAATTTCTATTCTTCCGGAAATATTATTATCATCGTCATCAGCCTGCTTCTGGACCCGTATCATAATGTCAAGATTGCAGATTTTGGATTATCAAATATCATGACAGATGGTGATTTCTTGAAAACCAGTTGCGGCAGTCCGAATTATGCCGCGCCAGAGGTGATCTCTGGCAGGTATTAATAAATAATCATTATTGCAATTTGAATTTTTTTTTGCTGTTGATATTTTAAGTTTACCAAATAATATTTTATTAGATTATATGCAGGACCAGAAGTCGATGTTTGGAGTTGCGGGGTAATTTTATATGTGATGCTTTGTGGTCGACTTCCTTTCGATGACGAGTATATTCCAACTCTGTTTCAAAAAATTAATGGTATGCAAATCTGCTTAATTGTTTATTATATATATATATATATTTTTGTACGATTGGAAAATATGAAACAATACTTAATGGTTTTCACATTAAAAGGTGGAATCTATATATTACCTCCATTTTTGACGCCCGAGGTCAAATATCTTCTTTCTTCAATGTTGATAGTTGACCCTTTAAAAAGAATAACGATTGCTGAGATTAGGTATTAATATTATTTTTAAATCAAAAATTCGGATATATTTTAATTTTGTTAATTCAATTCTTTGATTTTTATATAATAATTGAATAACAGGCAAAATGCATGGTTCAATATAGGCTTACCTGATTACTTGAAGCCATTACCTCATAGCGTGGAGGATCCTTTTGCTGAAATTGATGAAGCTATTGTTGCAGAGCTACAAAAAGTAAAAAAATCGAAAACCATATTGTTTTTATTCTGATAATGAAATTAGTAATTTTTTACTATATTTAAAAAAAATAATAGAAAATGGGTTTTAGTAAAGAGAACATATACGATGCTCTGCACGAAACCGAGAATAATCAAACAAAAGTCGCGTACCAGCTTGTGGTGGATCATAAGAGAATGATTTTAGCGGGTAATTAGCAGTAATTGCTTCTTGAGAAAGTGAGAAAGCGACTTTTTATTTTTAGTTGACATTATTTTTCAATTCTATGGTTTGATTCTATGCACATATTTAAGGAAGAATGTCGGATCAAAATAACATAATGAGTTTTCTTGCAGCTTCTCCTCCAGCATGGGATGTGGTTCAGGTATTCAGAGTATAACATCTGAATATCACAGATTCGCTCTATTAGTTATGCAAATTCTCATGCATTGTTTCATTAGCAAGGAAAGGCATCGTTGATAAATGGGGAAGAAAATATCGAAGAACCTTCTAGTATTACATTACTGAGCAGTAGTTTGCCGCCGAGTACAGACAATTTCAGAGGTTTGAATTTCACTTTTTATCCAAAGAGTGGGAAAAAAAGCCAATTAAATATATGTCTCATTCGTTCATTTAGATCCGAACCACCCCTTTGGAAATCTTGCCAAATCGTCGATCACAACGAGACGAACAAAGTCGCGTTCCAAATGGCATTTCGGGATTCGATCGCGTAGTCCACCTTTGGAAGTGATGTTGGAAATTTATCGTGCTTTAAAAAATCTTGGGATGGTACGAACACACAATTTCTTCTAGATTTACAGATAAAAATATATCAAATTGATATTTAATTCGTATGTAGGATTGGAAAACCATTGATCCGTATCATGTTCGATGTCGATACATCTATCCTTCAGGATTAGAGGTAAATATATCAAAATATAATTTTCGGTAAAATGCATAAATAATTTTTCCTAAATTCTTTCCATCTATTCATTAGGTTAAAATCGATTTACAACTCTACAAACTTGATATCAACAATTACCTCGTTGACTTCAAGAACGTTTCATACTCCCTCTCTAATTCTGATGGTAAACCTACATCGCTTTCCTCATCCCCGATATCACAACCTGAATCGTTATCGTCGTCAATACCAAAGTCTTCCCCGGACGAACCACAACTTGCTTCATCGATGGAGAATATGTCGATGACTACCACCAGTACCACGTCTGTGCACAATTCATCATCAACGACTAAAGAAATTTACTCGCAAAGTGATGGCAAACAAGTTTGTTCAATGTACCCGTTCTTTGACGTTTGCACGAAATTGATCACAGAGTTGGCAATTTCTGCTTGATTCAACCTTATGTTAAGTGCGATCATACATAGAATTCTGTATTTTACTCCCTACTCTATTTTCCGGTTCTTATGTAAATATTATTCAATTGTATATTCCAACCTGTTTTTTTTGTTTTCTAGCATAGTAAATTATTTGATACTTAGATTGTGCAAAGGTGGAATTTAATCTGCTTACTATTAGTAATATTACTTTGAATTTTATTTTTATCCTGAGGATATATATATATATGATGTATTAACGCTAGACGTAATAGACATAGAGATGACCAATAACTATATAAGAATCACAAATCACTCAATTAGAGTTCAGAGTTCAGTTCACATAAATATATTCCTTAATAGAATTGAATTATGTGAATTGACCTATACATGTTTTTATCTAATTAAAGTTGTATTAATTATATGATGATATGATTGAATGATAATACCAGTTCATACAAGCAAGTAAGGGAAACTTCTTAATGTGTTTGTGTATATATAGCGCGTGGAGAAATTATTTCTACACAAGAGCACGCACAACATATACACAAGTTAGATTATAGAAATGATAGGGAAAATTAATAATAATAATAAAATAATAATAATAATAATAATAATAATAACTAATAATTACTTTTAAAAAAGCCTGTTTTTAATAAGTAGCCAACACAAGCTATAAATAGCTCACCAGAATGAAAGCGAGAGAGACGTGTCAATCGCGTAAAGCGCGGATTTTTGATTGTGACTAATGATAAATAAATTTATAAAGTGTCAAGTACAGTAATGAAAAGAAAAGTAGTTATACGTGTAATAATAGAGGAATAATAATACTACTCATTTCAATAAGAAAACGCAACCTTCGTTAATTCTTTTTGATCCTTCGCGACGTAGTTTTGCTGATTAATACTGCTTGATCCTCCGTGAATCCGGTAGTCACTATCGCTTGCTCGTTGCTATTCATTTGATTCCATGTGGTGACAACATCTTGCGCCAGCTGTACGCGTTTTTGCACAGAAGGCACTTGTAATTCCTTGCTTTCTAAGCAGAGTCTAAGCAGATCGAATGGTAATTGAACGTAATAGCCACATAATCGTTTGTAGCCAGGTCCAGTGGATCCATTCTCCCCGAAAGCAGATGTCATCTCTGGAAAATCGCGTAATAGAAAAGTATAGGCTCGTTCACGAATCTGTTGCGTGTACCCGCCGTATGGACTAGCGTGATCCGACCATTCGATATATGCCACAACATTATGCTCGTTGATATTTTCGCATGCTGCATTGGCAGAGAATTCGCACAGATCACCTATCCCAAGGAACGAGGCTGCCGCCAAAACATGATGCGCATTCTCACCAGTCACACAGTGCATTTGCGAGAGGTAGAGGTGCGACAAACAAATGGTGAACGCTTCATCGGTGATGTATGGATCAACGAGTTCGTTAAGAGCTATACTTATAGGATGAGTGTAATCTGATTCCGTTGTCGCAACAGCGTTGGTAAGTAAGTGAAATAAATACGGTGATTTTGAGACAATATGGGCGTGGAGCTGGTACGGGGGTTCTCTAAATGGAACGTGGACTAGCAAGTTGCAAAATTCACCATTGACAAAATTCTGGTAAAGATATTGACATAAAAATTCATGATAATCTGGTCCATCAGATCCTTCTTGTGTTTGTGCATCTGTGGAGAAAGCAGAGGTTGGTGGTAAATGAGGTGGTGGGGGTAGCAATTCTTCTGCTTCAGAGACGAAACCTTGCTGCATCAATTCAGCAATAGTTTGTTCGTTAATAGCCTGGGAGTCTGGTGATTGACTAGCGTGCATAGCTACTTGTGGAGGCATTTTAAAGAAAAATGATCTTGCAAATTTTGAAGGAAAAGAACACGTCGCGAATATTTGTAGCGTCTACAATCAATCCTATTGTGCGCATGCAGCCCAAATATTCAAATCTCACAATCCTGATAGCAAATCAATCCATTTAGCGTTGAATTTTTGTACATTGCAAAATTAAATTTAACCAATCGGAAATTTTAAATTCTCGTGCATTTTGTAAAAAATTCCCCGATGATTCAACAAAACTTTTATATTTTAACTTCATATTTACTTTTTTGCTAAAGTCTTCGCAGGGTTTTTAGCAAATAAGATCGGAATGTATGACTTACCTTATGTCAAAGAAATATTCGCATCGCGGTTATCAACAATTTTACTCTATGTAAAAGAAATACTCGAATCGCTGCAATCAAATTTACTTTATGTTAAACAAGAATTCCAAGAGACTGGTAATGTTTTGATTTCATATTTACTTTATCCTAAAGAGGTCATCGAAGAGTTTTTTACTTTTATATTAAAGAAGTATTCGCATTGCTTTTAGATGCCGTTGATGTTTTTTTAAAGCTAATAGAACTTAACATGAACAAAGCCCGATCATTTCTATTTAATAAAGTCCTATCTGAAGAAGAAAATCTACCAGGACTTACTGCAAAGATATTGACATTAGTGGTTGTGACTCTGGTGGTGGTAATTGTGGTAAAAGCATTGGTAGCAAGATCCAAAAAAATGTAAGTACTATTATATTATTTTTTTTGGATCTTACGAAAACTTCATTAAAACATTTCTCATCACTAAAAGGTCCTCCGTCAATTTGGTGAAGGCAAAATCAATAAGACAATCTTCACTTCATATTCCCCGACCTTTACAATGGCATGCATATGTGTGGCCCTTTGTTTGCCTTTACATAATATGGCTATGCATATATTTGTTTGCATATGACGAATTTCTTGCATCAGAAGAATGGACATTTTTAACACTTGGTAGTTTAATTACCACCAACGCATTATTATTTTTGAGTTGTCAATGGAGTGTTCGACTGAAAGCCTTCTTCACGTGTAAAGGTGTTAAGGTAAAGTCTATTTTTGAACGATCCATTGCTTTTATTTTGATATCTTTCTTATTATCAGAGAGAGAGAGAGAGAGAGAGAGGTTGCTTAAATTTTAGATTTACAATTTTTGTCGATAGGTTAATGAAATTCATAAAGCACGAGTCATAAAGATTATACCGGCGCCTCATAAAGGCAAAGGAGAGATTTGCCCGTTACATCATGCAGAAGTATTTTTTTTTGTTTATTATTTATATGATTCGAGATTTAGTTTTGGGCGTATTCTATATAATGAAACATCTATTGATTTTTGAATAAATAGAATGGCGAAATATCATTTCAGTATCAAAAGAGAAAATTTATTTGGGATGAAGATCGCAAGGAATTTTATAAACTAGCGTATCCAAGTGATGCCGCTACGCTGCTTCGAGACTACCAAAATCACAACGGGTTACAAAGCAACGATGAGATAGATGCAACCAAAGAGAAATACGGGTTCAATAGGTAATCCTTAATTACATAATGCATCTTTAATTTTTATCCTGACTACTATTATAATAATAATTTTGATGATTAGGTTTGAAATTCCTCTACCTACTTTTCGTGAGCTTTTCAAAGAACACGCGGTTGCTCCATTTTTTGTTTTTCAATTATTTTGTGTCGGACTGTGGGTGATGGATGAATATTGGTACTTTTCAGTGTTTACGCTGTTTATGCTAGTGGCGTTCGAATCGACTGTTGTTTTTCAGGTAATTTCATATTACAACTATCATACCTTCTTGACTTTGTTATAAAAACATGGTGATTTGATTAGTGAATCATTTATTATTTAGCGTTTAAGAACTCTGGCGGAATTTCGTTCAATGTCAATTAAACCATATAATATTCATGTAAGAAGGAATCGTCACTGGATAACAATCAATACAGAAGAACTTTTGCCCGGTGATTTAGTCTCAATAGGTAAGAAAGAATACAAAAAAAATAATTGTTTCTACTTAAAAAGGAAAAGTTTCTCATTATTATTTTTTTTGTAAAGTTCGTTCTAAGGAAGACTCAGGTGTTCCTTGCGATATGTTGATTTTAAATGGTTCATGCATTGTTAATGAAGCTATGCTTTCTGGTGAATCGACGCCTTTATTGAAGGTAAATAAGCTTTATCAGGATTGAGATGAATTTAAATGCATAACCAGCATTCTTGGCGGAATATGAATGTGTGATTTTTATCTTACGCGAGCACATATATGATTTTATAAACTCTAGGAATCGATTGCTCTTCGTGATGGTAACGATATTTTTGACATGAATGGCGTCGATAAAAACAATGTTCTATTTGGTGGCACAAAAGTTCTTCAGGTTACTCCACCTCCCAAGGAGGATCCTTTATCAGGTATATACTATCTTAGCGTCATTGGCAATATATTTCTTTTTATTAACGATCTTTTTCTTTAATTAGCCCCAGATAATGGATGCATTGCATACGTCCTTCGTACTGGTTTTGGCACCGTTCAAGGGAAACTAGTTCGCACTATGGTATATAGTACCGAACATGTTTCTGCCAACAATTTGGAAGCGTTCCTATTCATTCTTTTCCTTTTGGTATTTGCATTGGCTGCTGCTGGATATGTTTGGGTTAAAGGTGGATTTATATTTGAATTTATAGAATCTTTCATTGTTTTTATCAAAAAATAATAAGATTATAGTAATATTGTTTTTGAATAGGTGTCGAAAATGATCGAAAGAGATCAAAACTTTTATTGAACTGCATAATTATTGTTACATCGGTGGTACCACCCGAATTGCCAATGGAACTTTCTTTAGCTGTGAATACATCTTTAGTAGCATTAGCTAGATATGGTAAGACATAAAGTCATTAAATTTTAAAAATGGAGAAAAATGACCTTACGATATTATAATATCTGCAGCAATTTATTGTACCGAGCCGTTCAGGATTCCATTCGCGGGAAAAGTTGATGTTTGCGCATTTGATAAAACTGGAACACTGACCGGAGAAAATCTTGTAGTTGAGGGAATCGCCGGAATTAAGTATGTTCTTATTTGTATTTTCTTTTAACCTCGTGTGCCATTTTATTCATATAATATTTCTTATAATACACAGTCCTAGTGATCCCAAAATTTTAATTAGTCCTACGGAGGCATTAAGAGAAACAATACAGACACTCGCCGCTGCTCATGCATTAGTTCTTTTGGATGATGGTATTGTCGGCGATCCAATGGAAAAGGCAACATTAGAAGCATTGGAATGGAAACTTTTAAAAGGTATTATTTTAATGGATATTTTATAAATATCTTGTATAATTTGATTTTCATATCTAAATTACTGATTCGTATTAGGTGACATTGTTGCTCCGGACAATTCTCAGTCCGCCCGCTTCCAACAACGTTCTCAACTTCAAATACGCCGCCGCTTCCAATTCTCTTCTGCACTAAAACGGATGTCAAGTGTGTCGACACTTTCAACTCCAAGGAATTCAAAGACTTTTGTCGCTGTCAAAGGTGCACCTGAGACATTGCGTCACATGTTCGTGTATGTACCGGATGACTATGAAGAGACATTTAAATTTTTTACGCGTCGTGGGAGTCGTGTTCTTGCATTAGGCTACAAATATTTGCCGGTTAATTTGAATACTGATGAGGTATTTTCGCATATTGATCAATCGAAATTATAGATTACTGTTTAATTTGAATACGTTTTAGATAAATGACTTGACACGAGAATCGGTTGAAAGTAAATTGAATTTTGCTGGATTTTTGGTATTTCATTGTCCATTAAAAGATGATGCCGTTTCTACTCTCGTTATGTTGAATGAATCCGCTCATCGGGTATGTATAATTGCTATAAATAATAAGCTTTTTATCTTCTAAGTGTAAAAAATAATTATTACTTAAATATTAGTGCATTATGATTACTGGTGATAATCCTTTAACCGCCTGTCACGTCGCAGAAACAGTTAAAATAATCGAAAGAGATGTATTAATCTTAGATTTACGTGAGGAAGCCACAAGGGATGATGGTAACCCTAACTATTACTCGTTTGCTTTCATGAATTTTCGCATTATTTAAATTTTTGACCTTTTTATTAAACAAAATTTGTTTATAGATCTCGTTTGGAAGTCGGTTGATGAGAAGACCATAATTCCTGTGAATCCAGACGATCCTATAGATCCGAAAATCTATGAAGATTATGATATATGTCTAACTGGCGCAGCATTGTCTTGTTATGAAAATAAGCCACACGTCAAAGATCTACTTGAACACTCATGGGTTTATGCGCGAGTGTCTCCGGGACAAAAGGTTGTTAATTAATTATTTATTTATTTATCGTATATCAATATATAACTAAAAGATTAATAATTTCAAAATAGGAATTTATCCTGCATGGACTTAAACAAGCAGGGTATATAACATTAATGTGTGGTGATGGTACGAATGATGTAGGAGCTCTTAAACAAGCTCATATTGGTGTTGCTCTTCTTGATGGCACAATGGAAGATTTGAAAAAAATTGCAGAGCATCAAAAAACACAACGACTAAAAGACATGTACGAAAATCAACTGAAATTCACAAATCGATTCAACTTGCCGCCACCGCCACCACCACCTCAAATTGCTCATCTTTACCCACATATAACTCAACAAATTCAACAACAGCAACAACAAAACCCCAATATGGCACAACAAAGACGCCCTCCACCACAAGTAAGTCATACATTTTATTTCTGTCTTTATAATTCTGTTGGAATTTGTTAAGTCGTCACTTTGCTTTTTTATTAGGTGGATCGATTAGCAGAACAATTATTAGGCGATCTTGACGAAGAGCCACCTACAATCAAATTAGGTGACGCATCAGTAGCTGCGCCTTTTACTTCTAAACTTGCTAATGTGTCTGCAAGTAAGAATTTTTATATTTATTATTGAATTGGTACCAGATGATTATTATTATTATAATTAAATGCTTACAAAATTTTAAAACTGTATAGTAACAAATATAGTACGACAAGGTCGTTGTACGCTTGTCGCGACGATTCAAATGTACAAAATTCTTGCTCTGAATTGCCTGATTTCCGCATACAGTCTAAGTGTATTACATTTAGAAGGGATAAAATACGGTGATTTGTAAGTATTAAAATCTTTACAAAATAAATATTGCCATTATGTTATTTTAAAATTTATTCTGTTTAGTCAAGCCACAATTTCAGGCATGATGCAAGCAGTATGTTTTCTTTGCATCTCGAAAGCCAAGGTGAGTAAGCAAAATAATTTATAATATATAATCATTATCATGCTTTATTTTGTTAATCCTTACGCTCTAATAAAAAATTATTGCTCATCAGCCACTTGACAAACTCTCGAAAGAACGACCTCAAGTAAATATATTCAATTTTTATATAATCCTGTCGATCTTGGGTCAATTTGCCGTGCATATCGCGGCATTGGTATATGTTGTTGATTTGGTGTTTAAATTTGAAGAGTAAGCGTGGAATTTCCCTTCACTTTATCATTTCT